CCGCTGCACCGGTCAAACCGGGCCCCGATCCACCGATGCACTGGTCCCCCCGGGGCCCGGTCCAACGGTGCACCGCTTCACCGTTTCACCGGTCTCAAGCGGTGAAACGGTGACGGTGGAACGGTTTTTGATCATCACCGTTGCATCCCTACTCAATTATTAGCACATATACCTGCTGCTGAATCTAAAGAAAGATGCAGATATTGTAGCACGAGAGTCTCCAGTATTTAGTAGCATCAAATGCAGTTCTTGCTACATTTCTCTTTGTGTAAAAAAAATTGTTTTTTGTCATTTCACGAAAAAGTTATATAAGTTTTGCAAGTAGGAAACGGTGGTAACTATAATTTTCATTCAAATATAACAAAATTCAATAAAACGTATATGGAATATATCACATCACAGCACTTGCGAGTTATTTATGTCATGTGTGTATGTTTAAAAATAAACCAATCTGACGGTCTACTTAAATTGAATCCAGCAAATAAATTTGGAATTGAAACGGTTAATGACGTTTGTCTTCTATAGAGAAAATGTTCTTCATGTTGGAACAAGTCATGATGTTTATTTATTTCTAGACTAAAATATAGACAAGAATCGTTTTAATAAAAAAAAAGAATTTTTTTTTAATGACTGTACTTGCTCATATAAATATATACATGAATGAGGATACACCGTGACAAAAAAAGGAAATAAGTACTTATGCTCAGTCACATTTTTTGTACCATGGATGATTATATAAGTGATAGCGATGATTTATGGATCACAATAGAAGAACATGACGAGGTGAATCATTCGTTATGTTCATTCAAAAAGATATAAAGAACCATTTTTTCTGTCTTAATAATGATTTTTTTTCTTTTTTAGAATAATGAAAATAATAGTCGTCAATTGCAAATCACAAAAAAAGAACAATGGATTAGAGTCCTGCAGGTTAAGACATTTTGTACCCTAACCCTGCCCTATAGTAAAACTTCGTACCCTTGTCCTACCCTGCCCTACGACGTTCTTACCCTAGCCCTACCCTGCCCTATAGCTTCGTAACCTTGCCCTACCCTGCCCT